TACTACATGCAAGTTACCTAATGAAATACCTTAAAGAACATGCCGTCCAAATGAAGAGGCAAGACAAATCACCTGAATACTTAGCCAGGTCGGGAGTGCAGGCATTACCGAAGAGACAGCCAATACATCCAGAAAGACTTCTGTGTTCCTTCTTGCTCCTTCAGTATTTCATTTGAATCCGTTTTCACTTGGAAAAATTTGAAGGGCAGGGAGTGGGTAGGAAGGTACAGTTTTGTTCTGTTTTAATTTATAGACTATTTTTCACAGCGGTTTTAGATTTACAAAAAATTTAACAGAAAGTTCAGAGGGTTTCCACATATCCCTTCTCTGCTTACCATTTCCTGATTATTAACATCTTGCATTAGTACATTAGTGTGCTACATTTGTTACCATTAATGAACCAATACGGATGCACTATTATTAATTAACATCTGCATTTTACATTAGGGTCCACTCTGTGTGGTAAGCTCTATGGGTTTTGACAAATGCCTCATGTTAGGTATCCACCATTCCAGTACCATACAGAATAGTTTCATTACTGTAAAAATCCCCTGGGTTCCATTTATTCATCCCTCCTGCTTACCTCAAACTTCTGAGAGCCATTGATTATCTATTCTCTCTATAGATTTGCCTTTTCCAGAAAAATCATATGGTTGGAATCATATAGCAAAAAGGTGGCCTTTTCCAATTAGCTTTATTCACTTAGCAGCATGTATTTAAGTTTCCTCCATGTCCTTTCATGACTTGATAACTAATTAATTGTTATCACTGAATAATATTCCATTGTATGGGTGTACCTCAGTTTGTTTATCTATTCCCCTATTAAAGGACATCTTAGTTGCTTCCAGCTTTTCCCAACTATGGATAAAGCTGCTATAAACATTAGTATACCAGTTTTGAGTGGACAGAAGTTTTCAACTCTTTTGGGTAAATACCAAGGATTTCTGGATCATGTCTTAAGACTACGTTAAGCTTTGTAAGAATCTGTCAAACTGTCTTCCAAAGTGACTGCACCATTTTGCGTTCCCACCAGCAACGAGAGTTCTTACAGCTCTACATCCTTGCGGACGTTTGCTCTTGTGAGTGTTTGGATTTTAGTCATTCCAAAATGTGTGTGTTGGTATCTCATGGTTAATTTTAACTTGCAATTCCTCAGTGACGTATGAGGAGGAGCACTTTTTCATATGCTCATCCGCCACCTGTGTGTCTTCTTTGGAGAGGTGTCTGTGCAGATATTTTGCCCATTTAAAAAGTGGATTGTTTTCTTATTGCTCCGTTTTTAGAGTTCATCGCATGCTTTGGATAGAAGTCCTTTATTAGATAGGTGTTTTGCAAATACTTTCTCCCAGTTTGTGGCTTGTCTTTTCATCCTTTTAACCATGTTGGTTGCAGAGCAAAAGTTTAAAATCTGGTGAAGTCCAACTTACCAGATTTTGTTTTTGTTTTTTTCTCATGGATCAAGCTTTTGGTGTTGAATCTAAAAAGTTCACTGCCAAACCTAAGGTCACATAGATTTTCCCCTGTGTTATCTTCTAGATGATTTATAGTTTCAAGTTTTATTATTAGATATATGATCCCTTTGAGTTAATTTTTGTGAAAGGTGCAAGATCTATGTTGAGATTCACTCTTTTTTTTTTTTGGCATGAGGATGTCCCATTCTGGCACTGTTTATTGAAAAGATGATCTTTTCCCCCATTGAATTGCATTTGCTCCTTTGTCAAAAATCAGTTGACTGTGTATGCTTGTGTGGGTCTATTTCTAGGCTCTCTATTCTGTTCCATTGGTCTATTTGTCTGTTCTCTCGCCCATAGCAGGCTGTCTTAGTTATTATAGCTTTATAGTAAGTCTTGAAGGCAGGTAGTGTATGTACGGGTTTTAACAGCCCACACATGCTTCATGAAATATGGCCATTTAAGTGCAGTTCTTTCCTTGCAATTTTAAATCTTTTCTTTGTTCATGAACACCATCCTGTTACATTTCATCATAGCTCCAAATTCTAGGAGACTTTACTTTCCAACCTCTTTCCCCTGCAGAACAATTTTCAGGTGTTGATGGACTTTGGGTAGGAAATTATTATTACCTAGTAAGGGAAACAAGGATTTCCTCTTTCTAAACTATGACTGCATAAAATGGATTATATAATAATATACTACACTGAGGGTGGTATGCCTCAGTCCCTCCCAACCCCAATTATTAATGATCACGCACTTGTGAGCAAGAGTGCAGCCTAGACACATGTTGTCTCGATCCTCATCCCTTTCCTCTCTCCTCACCCAGGAATCTCAGCTAATGTGGAAGGAGAATACTTTCTCACCACGAAAACCAGAGATGAGCGCCCTCTACAGCTCTGGTGCTTTCCCATCAGTTCTCCTGCAGGGGAAACTTATGTACCCAGAATTCCCTGTGGCATCGTGGGAAGAGAATAATCCCCACAGGCTTCCAAAGCTCAGGAGGATCCCCTTTAGCTCCCAAGAGATAAAATCACCCCAGCATCCTCCCTGTACCTAAGCTAGGGCCTCCTGCAGTCAGACCAACATGAATACTAACAGAGCCCGTATCTCCAACAAAACAACTAGGCTGTGGCATCACATGTGAAAACGGAGGGCACCCGGGTGCAGAAAGCAGAAGACAATTTAACAATATTTAAGCATGTGTCGTCTTGTTCATTTCAGGGATATTGCAGTAATAAATCAATCTTGTCATAAGAAAGGACTATTTACAAAAATAAGAAAGACTTCTTGGAAATAGGAAAAGAACATAATTGTCAAAAATGTTTAACTTATTAGAAACACTGATGGGGAAAACATTCCCCAAAGTGGAAATAATGATTTAGAAGGGTAAATAATTCTTCCAGGGTGCAAAGCAAAAAGACCAAGGAAGGGAATTTCTGAAAGAAGAGACCAAAGAGACCCCATATTCATGAATAGGAGCCCTAGGAAACCAGCAAGCGATGGAGGATAAGCAAAAACAAAACAAATCCCAAAAGAAAATTTCCCCATGTTTAAGAATTCTGTGAATTCTGAGTCAGAATGCCTCACAAATGTTTGGCAGGATTATTGAAAAAGTGGAAACAACTTGAAAAACATATATTTGATTTCTCAGGATAAAATAAGCATTTTCCAAAATAGATACAAAGTATAGTTTGCCTGCAAAGGAAAGAGAATCAGACTCCCATCAGAATTCTCACTTGCAATACCAAATGCCAGATGCAGTGCAGAGCTACGTTGGCAGCGTTTTCTGAGAGCTCCATATCTGACAACCAATTGGCCCTCGTCCCTTCCAGCTTAGCTCAGCAATCCACTCCCAGCCTGCCCCTTGTCTGCTCCTTCTCAGCTCTGCACCCTCCACCCCTTGACGTGTGAACAGGGGTGAAGGCCACAGATTTGGACCCTCCTGTTGTGTAACCACATGGCCATCCCTCCCTAGAGTAGAGCTACTGTGCACCTCAGTCAGGCTTCTTCTATGGCCCTGGGGGCGGGGGTGGCGGGGGGAGAGGCCCCATCATCATCTTAGCATGTTTCTCTCACCAAGCCAAGGCTCCAAGCAAAATCAGACACCCATTTGACTCCCTCCTCCTATGTCCCCATCCCCGCTGGCCTCTTTGTCTTGCTTTTCCAACTGTTCCCCTCTGCCCCAGGACCAGAACAGACAAACTCCTCTTTCACTTCCTCTGCTTAACATCAGCCACCTTGCTGGTTCCAATTTCTTGGCTAATCCCTCCTGGTGGACAAAACTATTTTCTATGAACTTTGGGAGAATTACTGCTTTGTGGTCCCAGCCTAGCATTTGATATATTAAGTAGAAGCAAAGGAATTTAGACACGTCTTTGTTTTCAACGGACTTTCAAGCATATTTGCCTATTGTCTTCTTGCAAAATGCCATTTAAATGTCAGAAACTGAAAACTCTTTGTTCATCATTACATTTCTTCTCCACAAATGAATCTTAATAATTCTCATTTTCCAACATCTCTTGGTGGCAGATGAACACCTTGGGCTTACATGTGCGGAAAGGCAGAAGACAAAGCAGGTACATATTTTTAAAAACATTATCTCCATTATGCTACATAAACTTTATAGTTAAACTTACAGAATTTTCATAAAGGAGTTACGAAGTTTATTTTTATTTTTATTTTTTTTAAAGATTTTATTTATTTATTTGACAGAGAGAGGCACAGCGAGAGAGGGAACACAAGCAGGGGGAGTGGGAGAGGGAGAAGCAGGCTTCCTGCCGAGCAGGGAGCCCGATGTGGGGCTCGATCCCAGGACCCCGAGATCATGACCTGAGCCGAAGGCAGATGCTTAACGACTGAGCCACCCAGGCGCCCCAAGGAGTTATGAAGTTTAAAGGCAAAAAATAATTTTCTTAAATAGGAGAAGCATAACATAAAAATAATTTTAGTAAAATTTTATAGTTCTACTTCCTCTCATGTTCAGTGAAGCAAGGTTAAACATTAATAAGTAAAAAGATAACAAAATTAATCCCATTCGGAAACTTAAGACTGCTCTTCTAAGTAAGTCCTGTCAGCAAGAAAATAAAAATTGAAATTACAAGCTCCTTAAAATCGAACAGCAGTGGGAATATTAGATATTAACAACTACAGAATTTGGCCACAGTCATACACTGAAGAAAATTCAGGATTCAATGCCTCTATTATTTAATAAAAGACAAAGCATTCAATTCAAGCTCATAATAAAAATAACCAGAAAACAAATCAAAAGGAAAGGAAAGAAAATAATAAATATAAAACTAGAAATTAATTGATAAACAAACCGAAGTAGAAGTAATGGATAAAATGAAGAGTTTGACCTTTGGTGGGAGTGAGTGGGTTAATGACAGATATGTTTTTAGCAAAACAAACCGGTTCTCAGGTTCATCTGAGAGAATAAATGAAGACCACCATTAAAGATACCAGATTGGACACACATATCTAACCTCCACTCCCTCCTGAAACCCTACAAAAATGAGAGTAAAGGTGTTTTTCTTTGTTTGATTTTTGCAGAGTTCCTCAAGACCAGAGGGCAGAAAAAGCAATAGCCAATGTTAGGATCGCAAAGCAGATGGATAATGGCAGATGACCGAGCAGCTCCTCGAAATCCTAACCTGGCAGAGGAGAAAATCAAGAAGCAATCTGATTTACACTACAAACCTTTCAAAGTCTCAGGAACTGAACACATCAGGAACCTATAAAAGTGGATGAAAAAATGAAGCTAAAAGCCAGAGAGAATTGGTTCCTAGTCTGTTTAAGAAATTAGAACTCCAATATGCCCTCCCCAGTCTCCACAGAGCCTTTTTACTGCTTTCTCCCACCCCCACCCCCAAACTGGACTAGAGTTGTTTGTTTTCCTGCAGAGAACAAAACAGAAGGTACCAGAACAAGTTGAATGTGGGGATATTTTGCTGAGAACAGGAGAGGTAAATGCAAGTTGACACAACGGGTATGAGACTTTCAGCTTTCTTCTCGAGATGAGCCGCCAGAATGCTGGCAGCCAGACAGACATTCTGAAGGCAAGATAGACCTGACTCCTCCAGGCAGGGAAATGTACCGACCAAGAGAAGAGACAAAGATATTGATGTCAGGGAGTTTCCTAAAGAAATGGTCGGAGTTTCTCAAAGTGAAGACCATGGTTGACAAGTCTCACACAGGCATTCAGAGCTTCCAATCTGCTTTTTGATTTCATATTCTAACAGCCAAAGAGCAAAGTATATAATATTAGAAACCAAGACAAACAGGAAAAAGCTACTTGGAAGGCCCAGGGTAAAGATAATTTCAAAAGAGCCATCAGTATCTTCAGAGGGCTAAGAGAAGATGCAGTGTTAACAGAGTAAGAACAGGTTGCTCTAAGAAAAAGAGCATTTAGAGAGTAAAGAGGATTTCTTAGAAATTAAAAATACCATCACCGAGTTGAAAGACCCGATGGAAGAAGGATTGGAAGATACAGTGGAGGAAATTTACCAAGAAATAGGGAGAAAACAGGAGAGAGAGATGATACGTAGACTGGTCCAGGAAGGGGATCTAACCAAGAGGAGTTCCAGAATGCGAGGCAGAAACGAACAAAGACAAGGGAAGACTATCAAAGAAATAATTCAGAAAAACTTTCCTACCACTGAATGATACAAGTTTTCAGAAGGGACGGCCTTAACCAATTGCTCAAAAGAGAGCCTATCCAAAATACATAATCATGAAATGAAATTTCAGAATGCTGGGAATGAAGAAAAGAGCATACAAGTCTCCAGTCAAAGATAGAAAGGTTTCACACAGAGATCAAACATCAGGATGAATAGTATTTCTGAACAGTAGTATTGAAAGATAGAACACAATGAAGAAGTGCATTCCGAATTGACAGAAGAAAGACTGTTTCCCAATAAATATGAGAAAAGTTGCTCAATATCAGTAATTAAAAAAGAAAAATTAGGGGCGCCTGGGTGGCTCAGTGGTTGGGCGTTTGCCTTCGGCTCGGGTCATGATCCCAGGGTCCTGGGATCGAGCCCTGCATTGAGCCCTGCATCAGGATCCCTGCTCAGCAGGAAGCCTGCTTCTCCCTCTCACACTCCCCCTTGCTTGTGTTCCCTCCCTCTGTGTCAAATAAATAAATAAAATCTTAAAAAAAAAAAAAGAAAGAAAGAAAAATTAAGACAGCAATGCCTTTTGTCCATTTTTTAAAAATCCTGTTCCTGTTCAGTGTTGCTAAAGATAATAGGAAAACAGACACAATGTGCAGTTGCCTGGAACAATTGAAATACCCGAGGGTCCACATTCACCTGTTGGAAGGACCAAAGGTCACTCTGCTGTCAAATTGTCTCATTCTGGATCTGGTATTGGATGTGGGAGCTAGAAAATCCAACAGTCAGGGCGCCTGGGTGGCTCAGTTGGTTAAGCAACTGCCTTCAGCTCAGGTCATGATCCTGAAGTCCCGGGATCGAGTCCCACATCGGGCTCCCTGCTCGGCGGGGAGTCTGCTCCCTCTGACCCTCCCCCCTCTCATGCTCTCCCTCTCTCTCTCATTCTTTCTCAAATAAGTAAATAAAATCTTTAAAAAAAAAAAAAGGAAGAAAAAAGAAAATCCAACAGTCATTTAATTAGTTCACCATTCACCCTCACAAACTTGATGTATTTAATATTTTTGACGTCCCAAGGATTATGCCCGGGCTTGTGATGATGTGATGATAAGACTCGATCTTACCCTCAAGAAGATCTTGAGGTTCCTGTGAGTCTGGGCTTCACTTATGTGATCTGTAAGATGAAGGCATTGGGGCTTTAGAGAATTAGTTGGTTTCTGAAGTGTCTTATGGCCCTACGATATGACATTCTTCAATAGCTAATGTATATTTTGTGAGCACTACGACACCTAGCAAACTTTGCATTGCTGTAGGGTGAGGATGCCATGCGTACAGTAGTCTTAGTCATAGTCAGTAGGCTCCAGGTGGTGCCGTGGAAGTCAGTAGGCTCCAGGCGGTGCAGTGGAGTTCAAGGGATTCCTGATATCCCATCTCTCTCTACTTTTCCAACAGAAGGTCGGCCTTGCTGAGCCCTCTGTGATTGGGAAATACTCTACAGAGAGAAAGTTTGTGTCAGAATCCTGGCATCCATTGAGGAAAAAAAGTAGTCTTCCCTAAAGTCCATATAATATTGACCTCCCAAGTATCATGGGGAACATCCAATGAGAATTCCAGAATCAGGTAATTCCTGTATTTCATTCCCTATTCTCAATCCAATGGAAATATACCAAGGAGGTGCCCGGGTGGCTCAGTTGGTTAGGTGTCTGCCTTTGTTTCACATCATCATCTCAGGGTCCTGGGATCCGGCCTAGTGCAACTCCCCACTCAATGGGAGGTCTGCTTATCCCTCTCCCTGTGCCCCTCCCCTAGTTGTGCTCTCTCAGGCATGCACGTGCTCTCTCTCTCAAATAAATAAATAAAATCTTAAAAAAATAAATATACCAAGGAAAATGAAAGGTAAACTTTTTTCATAAGTTCAGAAATGTTCCTTATTGGCATATTTTTTAAAGAGATTCTAGCATTCAGGCTAAAATATTTCTGGTAATTAAATAAATGAAAAAAATCTAGGTCTTTTAATAAATGACAAGGCTATAAATGAAAACCTATTTAAGAGAATTTTAAGTGGCATTTTAAAAATTGCAAACATTATATTTAAAAAATCCAAAACTTGGTAAAACTGAAGATTTTGAAATTTATGTTTTATATTTTCATAATTTTGGTTATGGAATGAGCACATCATTTAAAAAATATAGAAACAGGAAAGGTGTTGTTTTATTTGGGGACAGAATATTCCTTTCAGCAGTGTTTCTCAGAGTTTCTCGGAATTACCTGTGATGCTTGCTAAAAAGCCCTGCTCCCTAGACTTCTCCTCATATGACCGAATCAGAATCTCTGCAGGGTGGGGCTGGGGATTTTCACTTTTAACAATAGCCACAAGGTTTTCTACTGTACACAAAAATGTGAAGCCACCTTCTTAAAACACCATTTAAGTTTGTATGTAGATGTCATGGGTGTCTGGCATTTGTACATATTAGAGTTTGTATGTCCATGTCTTTTTTTTAAAATGGAGATACTTTTGAATCACTGTATAAAATTTGCATATTTTATTTTACATTTAATAATTTCTCTTAGGCAATTATTTTAAGCCATCAAAAATATCTGCATGTATTTGCATATATATGTGTATGTATATGTGCATGTGTATATTTTTATGTCTGTATGTGTGTGTATACAAGTAATCACTATACAAATATACACACACACACACCAAACTATTTGTGAAATTTCTTATTCTGCCATAAAATTTTGTCGGGAGCTTGAGTGGCTGTGAGTGAGACTCTCAACAGAGAGTAATGGCATATCAAGGGAAGAGCGTGTGAGGCAAGGATCAGAACCAAGAGCCCCATCTTGGCTGGCACTGAGGACTGAATTGGGGATTTGCCCTAGGGGATTTGCACTCCCTTTTTTCACACTCATATGAAGCATGGGGAAGGCTCAGGTTGAGAATATGAAACCCTTTATGAGAGTAGCAGGCAGATTTTCTCGAATGGCACAGTGAATATCAGAAATATGGTGGTTAAGACAGAGGGAATCCTGGTGGGGCCTGGCGCGCTGAAAATCTGTGATTTAACATTGTAGATAAGAAGCCACTGACGTTTTGAGGAGGTACATGACAGATCCTGGAAAAGAATTGGATAAGTAAGTTTAAATCAATAAGAAAAAAACAATAGAATTAAAATTAATCAAAAAAAATTCTTTTTTTTTCAAAATATTCTTTATAGAAATGTAATTTGGATTTTTCCAAAGTATTTGGATAAAGTATTTGGTTCTAGAACATCACAACTCTTGCCACTCTTACATGATTCACTCTTATTCTCTCTAATTATGCTCTCCTGTTAAAAATGTAGCAACTTGAGACTAGTTTCTGATTTTAAATTCTTAAGCTTCAAGTTGACTGCATAAAAAAGCAGAAAAATTTAAATTTGTATAACATTTAATGTTTTAAAATAACAAGTTTCTCTGTACAGTGTCTCAACTAATATATGCACACATGGTTTTTACTTAAACACAGAAATGAACATGAAATTCACTTAAAGAGGAATATTCTTCCTCATTGGGTCTTGTCAACAAATGTCTAACTTGATTTAACATAAATAGCCCATTGTAGCATTGTTGAGTACTTGCTGCATTTTTGGGAAGTAAGAGTGGAGCATGGGAAGAGCATTTGTTATTAATTTATAAACCAAGTTTTAATGTGATTTCCCCCAAGACAGAGGCTTAACCTGTGCTAACTTAAATATGGAAGGTTGGGCCATACTGATTGGCCCAATCAAGCTCTCACTCTGAGTTTCTTTCGTGAGTGTGTGTGTGTGTATGTGTGTGTGTTGCCAACATTTTTTAAAAATTGAGTTTATATGCCTTTGGTGGAGCCTGAATTTTCCAGTTTTACTGTATTTTGGCACCATGATCTATTGTCATATATAGGGTTACTTGATACATTTATATAACGTGACTGACCTCTGAAGGTGTTTGAGTTTGTGACTCCTGAAATAAGATCTATTCCAGCTCCAAAAATTGTAGTAAATAGGCACTTGCTGAATCCACCAGGGGTCAGTACACAGCATTATCACTCCAATATCAGTATGAGTTAAACCAAAAAAAAAAAAAAAAAAAAAAGTTAGAAAAGCCAAATACCTTTTGAAACTTGCATATGCCTGTAAGAAAAAACAAAAAACAAAAAGAAAAGAAAAAAATTCTTTTCAGTCAATTTGCCATAATTGCTTGCTTTGAACTGCTTTGATCCTTCCCTCTGAGGACCAGGAACTCAGTAGCCATTAACTAATTTCTAGTCAAGATAACTCCATAAATTAACCTCTTAACTCATCCCCTTTGCTCCAAACCCATAGCAAAGACAGGCCATAAAAAACAAAAACAAAAACAAAAACAAACCATTAAGATGGATCAAAAACAAAATACATTATTTCATGGACCAGAAATGCAATGCTATGAATAGAGTGAAAACCACACAAAGACCCTCACTGAAATAATTATTACAGAATATACTTCATTCAGTAGGAAGAAAAAGGAGCCTAGAGGAAAAGTATGGAATACAAAAAATGGGGGAAGCAGGGAAATTGATAAATTGTAAGCAAATGTTTATTAACTGTAAAAAAATTCTTAAGTTTTGTGTGTTTTGTTTCAAAAATGAAAAATTAATATTCCAGATAACAATAATTGAAGAGAAAATGTCCAAGACAGTTAAAATGTGCTAAAGGCTTTTTTGGTGTTGCTTTTCAGAAAAAAAAAAAAAAAAAAAAACAATTACTGAGCATTTCAGATTATTTAGAAAAATGTATGGTCTAATATGTATGTTAAAAAAATAAAGATAAGTGGTCAAAAAATGAAAACACCATCACTACTTTCCTAACTATTAAGGGGGGGGGCGAGTATAGAAAGCTTTCCTGGTTCAAGAGAATGCAGGAAAAGGGGGGAAGAAAAGAAACAAAGACAAAGGACAGTGAACAGAAAATCAAAAACCAAGAGATAAGTAATTTTAAATCAATCAATAATCCAAAAATTTGAACCTGGAATAAATTCACTGTAAAAAATAAGAGATTACATAATGAAATTAGAACGTAAAAATCTAGTCATAGTCTTATAGAATATACGCACAAAATAAAACCACCCAGATAAGCTAAAACTAAAGAGGTGGAAAAACTTGACCCATAAAAACAATAAAAAGAATAACCCTGGGGTGCCTGGCTGGCTCAGTTGGTGGATCATGAGACTGTTGATTTGGGGTTTTAAGTTCGAGCCCCATGATGGGTGTAGAGATTACTTAAAAATTAAATCTTAAAAAAAAAATAACCCCAGGAATGGCAGTAATCAATTTCATACAAAATATAAATTATGGCAAAACATTATATGGATAAAGAAGGAAAGAACTCAGTAATAAAAGGAATATATGGTACTTATATATACCTTAAAAATAGCCTTGAAATCCAGGAGGCAAAAATTAATTGAAATAAGGAAAGTGGAAAAACCTATCATCATATTGGAGGATTTTAGCACA